TACGAGCAGCAGTTCTATAAGTGCCCGATGTGGAAACACGAACCGGCGAACTGCAGCTTCTTCAGATGAGCAAACAACCTTTCAAATTTAACATTATCCCAATCGAACAACATTGCAATGGGTTCGACGGTGTCACAGTCGGAAACAATCATTTGTGATTCAGGTGTTTCCCAACCTCAAAATGTTGCTCGAGGTTTGATCGTGCACCAACCGAGCAACGGTTTTCAGGAGATGTTACCTTTATATTTTAAATTGAATGTTATAATCATATTACTAATTGTAGTTTCAATATATATTTTGGTTTTAATTTTGTATCTGAAGCTCTATTTTAGATGAAGTCAGAATAAAAAAATCTATATTGCTATGAAATTACAAATTTGTCATGCAACAAATCTATATATATATGTGTCTGTATTTTTTGTTAATTGTCTAATAAAGTAAGGGTTATAATAAGTTATTCACTTCAGTTCCTTCAGCTCCTGCATATTTTGTTCTATTTGAGTTTATTTTTTTCTTAAACTTCATTCAATTTATTTTAAAATAATTGTAAAATGTAAATTATTTTATTATAATTTATGTTACACATAATTTAAAAATAATTTTTTTCAAAAATAAATTTTATAATGTGTAAACGGTTTTGTATCAACCAAAAACCTGTTAATAAGTTGTTTTCCAAACGCAAAATACAAACAGTTTATTCAAAACAAAGGTGGAATGGTCATTTATCCAGAATCAGTTGTTTTCAAAACGCAAAAATCAAACAACTAGCCAACTTATCAGGATAAGCTGATTATCAACAGATTATGAGGATAAGTTTATCTGGATAAGTTGCAGCTACCACAAACAGACCCTAAGTTGTTTGTCCACCACCCACCACCCCCCTTAAAAAAAAAACTATGAAGGACATCGTTCGCCAGGCGCGGCAAAAGTCTTGATTGGGGACACTAGATCGGTATGGTCTAGGCACAAGAGGGAACAATCGATCCTTCCAAGCTTGGGGTTCCCTCCTATTGGCCCTTTGCCCTACTTCTACATAAATGTTATTTGTTCTGTTTTAGGGCAATTTTTAATTTCAAATTTCTATCAGGACAGTCATTGGGGTCCCATTTTCTCTCTTAGGATTGTATCCGAAGGCGAGAAGATGCTCCAGCTCTAACTCGTCCCATGGTGGTGGTTTTCTATCATTCTCCGCTTCCCCACAGCTTTCCCTCCATTGTCGTTGTCGCCTTGGTTGCCACCGTCACTCAGAAAGAGAGTATGTTCTGTTCGTATAGCCAACCATCTCCCCCTCACTATCAGGCCTCCCAACCATCTCCAGCTTGTTGCCTACCACTACAGCCACCTACTTACATGCTGCCACCTTATTTTCAACCACCTCCAACCTGTTGCCTTTTCTTTCCATCCCCTATGACTTACTGTTGACCACCTTCTTGCACCCTAAAACTTGTTGTCAAACCCCTTTCCAGCCACCTCCCACTTGTTGTCGCGCCATTCCAGCTACCAACCACTTGTTGCCGCCCTTCCAACCACCTCTGACCTACTTTAGTTACTATTTCCCCTTAAATCGCAACATCGTCATCATCGTCCTCAACCAAATTTGATTTGTGTTGTAGCTTTGTTATTTTTTAGTTTCAAGTGTCTCTGATTGTAATCTCTAGTTTGGGTTAACTCTTATATCATTTGGTATTAGAGTTAGCCAAACTCTAGTCGTATCATAAGGTTCCTAGCATTCGTCATACGCAAACCTACCTCCACCTCCTCAAATCTTTCCCCAACCTACACACCTCTCACATATCCACCCTTAAACCCTAATCATGCCACCGAGAAGGCAATTGTCAGAACCTTAACATGATTTACCAAAGGCGACATACAACGAGTACTCCGCCGAGGGCTACAACGGCTCGAGGCCATTGAAGAAAGGATCATATGTAAGGTCACTGACTGTAATAGTGAGATTCGTGTGGGAGATACAGAAGAACAATTGAACCCCTTTCATAGGGATGACTTCCATGAAGAAGAGAATCGACCCGGGCGTTTTGGAATTCAGCATCAAATAAGGCCGAGAGAGGAACTAACTGCTGAAAGGAACAAGATTTGGGAGTTAAGGTGGACCTACCGGACTTCAACAGAAGGATGAATCCAAATGATTTTCTCGAGTGGATGCAGATTGTTGAGAGGATCTTTGAATACAAGGACATGTCCGTTGACAGAAGAGTGAAGCTTGTCGGTATCAAGCAGACGAAGAATGCCACTTTGTCAAGAGAGAAAATGAAGAGGAAGAGATGGAGAGAAGAACGGGGTTATATTACTTCTTGGAAGAAGATAAAAAAAGCAATGCACCGATAGTATCTACCCCTACACTGCAACCAGGATATTTCATGAAACTCCACTACCTGCAGCAGAAGAAGCTATCAGTAGACGAATAAATGGCATAATTTAAGCAACTCAAGTTGAAATGTGACATGAATGAGACAGAGGAACACTTCATAGCTTAGTATTTTGGAGGTCTGAAGCTCGCCATCAGTAATGTGGTTCAACTGCAAACATATTTGACACTAAGGGACGTGCAAACCTTGGCATTGAAAGTGGAGACAACAAAAACAGAAGAGATATCCGCCTCCTTTCACACTATCCCTTACAACCGTAGGTCCCAGCAGAAGCAAGCCTAAAGGAGTGGAAAGATTGGGAAGAGAAATGGCAAAGCAGATTAAAGTGGAAAGAAATCAGAGCAAAGCAACACACCGGGTACAATCCAAAACTGGAAATGCTTCAAATGTCATGGATATGGGCACATTAACTCCTGCTGCCCGACAACCTGAGTGGTGTCCTTCACCGAGCAAGGTGTCGTAGACGAAGTTGGTGATGACGAAACAACTAAGGATTAGGGCGAGAAATAGCAGCTCTAGGGAGATGAAGGGGAAATGCTAGTTGAAAGAAGAGCCCCGCAGACAAAAACGCAAAAAGATCACTCGTGGGAAAGGCAAAATATCTTCCGCACCTAGGGCTATAAATAAGCCGAGCTTTAGCGACATGCAAGCTGGGCTCGTGTTTCACTCTTTCAAAATTAACTGGTGTTTGAAAGGGCTCGTGAGCAGCATGTGCGTGTTTTGCTTGATATACATATTATTGTTCATGTTCGGCTCGTGTTCGACTTAAAATTAGCTCGTTTAAATTAATTAAAAATAGATGAAGGGTATTGGATTTGAGCTTGCACCACTTCTGTATAGTAGAGGCACGAAATCACATGATTACAAAAGTTGTTATGGTTTAAACTTAGATATAAATAGATATATATAATATTTTATTACATAAATAATATATATAATTTCTTTATTTCGAGCTAAAACTAGCCGAGCGTGATCGAATTTGTTCGTGTTCGGCTCTTTTATGTTCGCGAGCAATTTGCTTGTGTTTGGCATGTTTATAATTCGAGCTTAAAAAATGTATGTTTGGTTTGCTTAACGAACAAATTGAACACGAGAAGTTCGTGAAAAACGAGTTTTTTTACAGCCCTATCCACACTAAGTGTAACATGAAAGAACAAGTTCGCAACCTCAACATTGATGGAGAAAGCTATGAGAATGTGGTCTCTGCTTTTATGGTGAAGTTGGATCTGGCTACACAAAAATACTCTCGGCCCTATTTTTTTGATGTGGTTGAAAAAAATAAACGAGATACGAGTGAATCAACGGTGCCTGGTAGAGTATTCCATTGGAGACCAACTACAATATCAAGTGTGGTGTGAGGTAGTGCCCATGGATGCCTGTCACATCTTGTTGGGGAGGTCGTCATAGTTCAATATCAAAACACAGCACAATGACTTCAAGAACACGTGCTTGCTCACGAAAAGGAAAACACAACATTCTCTTACCCATCAGGATTTAGAAGCATATGCACCTGTAAAGGAAAAGCCTTAGTTCCCATGCACCACTTTGATACAACGAGTTCAAGAAGCCCCCATGGCACTAGCCTTAGTCATTTTAGAGGGAACTAAAGAGGCGTCAAACCTACCGAAGACGGTCAAGCCACCGTTAGCAGAGTTTCATGAGGTGATGACCGATAGCCTGCTAGAGGGTCTACCACCGCTTAAGTATATTAAGCATGTCATATATCTTATCCCAAGACCAATGTTATCAGACAATCTTGCATACAGATTGAGGCCAGCAGAGTATGAGGAGTTACAGAAACAAATGCAGGATCTCATTACTCAAGGATTGGTGAGAGAAAGTATCAGCCCGTGCGTTGTCCCCGCATTGATGGTGCCTAAGAAGAATGATTGACAGAGGATGTGTATCAATAATCAGATTAACAGATCACCATCAAATACTAGATTCTTATACCTAACTTGGTTAACCTACTGGATCAATTACATGTAGCCATAGCATTTTCCAAGATTTACATGCACAACGAGTATCATTATATCAAAATGAGATTGAGAGATGAATGGAACGCTATCTTCAAGACCAGAGATGGATTGTACAAGTGGACATTCATACCATTTGGAATGTCCAATGCACCTATCACATTTATGAGACTGATGAATCAAGTGTTCTGGGTTTACATAGGGAAGTTCGTGGTTGTTTTTTTTCTTTTTACGACATCCTTCTCCACAATAGCTCAGAGGAGGAGCATTTGCAGCATCTGAAGCCGGTTTTCAAGGTTCTGCATTTGGACAAAATATATGCCCACCCGAAGAAGTGCCACTTCATGGTGGTTCAGGTATATTTTTTGGGTTATATTGTATCCAATGCAAACATTTAGATTGACCCTACAAAGATAGAGGCGATTGTGAGTGCAAGTTGAGGTGATTTTTGGGGTTAACTTCATTTTACACGCAGTTCATCAAGAGCTTCAGTATCATTACAGGTCTCATGACAAAGCTTCTAGAGGAAGAGAAGTTTTTGTGGATAGAGACAACCCAATCCAGTTTTGATACCCTAAAGGAAAACGTGATGCAAGCCCCAATGCTAGCTTTGCTAAATTTTAGCCAGTTCTTCAAGGTAGAGTGTGACGCTTCTCATGTGGGGTTGAAGCAGTGCTGAGCTAAGGAGGAAACCTTATAACCTTCCTCAGTGAGAAGTTGAATAAGTCCGAGAGAAGTATTCGACCTACAACAAGGAGTTCTATGTCATTATGAGAGTCATCCACCATTTGAGTCATTGTCTGCTGACAAGCGAGTTCATTTTATTCACAGATCATGAGGCACTGGAATTCTTGAACAATCAGAGCCAGTTAAAGGATATACATGCATCCTGGGTTGAGCGTTCTTAGCATCATTCCGGATCGTACTTGCAGGCCTTGAGCCACTATCATTTCTTGATCACCTCCATACAAGCCAACTTCGTGGGATTTGAGGTGGTCAAGGAATAACACAAGACAAACGAGAATTTTTAGGGAATTTGGGAACGGTGCCAGAAGAGGCCCACAGGACTGTGTCGCCGAGCTGATGGTTATTCGTTCAACCATAGTAGGTTGTGCATGCCCAAATGCTCGCTGAGAGAGTCCATCATTCAGGACAGTTATGACGGAGGACCGGCAGGTCACTTTAGCAAAGATAAGACCCTCGCACTAGTGAGAAAATATTTCTTCTAGCCCAAATTGACGAGAGATATGGAGCGCTACGCCAGGTGGTACAGAGTTTGTCACATGGTCAAAACCAGGGGATAAAATATGGGGGTGTATACCCATTACCAGTACCAGAGACTCCTTGGGCGGATGTCAGCATGAACTTCATAATAGGCACGAGGATGCAACGAAACAAAAATTTGATGGTCATGGTTGACAGGTTCTCGAAGATGGCTTATTTTGTGTAGTGTCACCGATACTGGATGCATCACACGTAGTTGATTTGTACTTCAAGGAAATAGTGAGATTGCATGGGATTCCAAGAATCATTGCCTATGATAGGGATTGTCAAAGTTTTTAAGCCATTTTTAGAAAACATTGTGGGGAACGCTTGATACTAAACTTTAATTCAGTTCAACAACAACCCCGCACATAGATGGTTAGACAAAAGTGGTGAACAAGAGCCTAGAAAAACCTCCTGAGATGTTTCATAGGAAAGAGCATCAAGCAATAGAACCTGCTCCTAGCCTAGACAGAATTTGCCTACAACAAGTCCGGGAGCTAAACAACGAAATGCATACCGTTCAGATTGTGTATAGATGTGATCCACTAACTCTGCTTGAGTTAGTACCAGTTCCTCTGACTTTGGATGTTAGTGCGGATGCTGAGGGGAGGGCACAAAAAATTCAGAGGATACACAAGGAGGTGGAAAAAGAGATCACCAAGCAGAACCACAAGTACTATGCATAAACTAATAAAACAAGAAAAAAGTGACATTTCGGTAAGGAAATCTGGAGTGGTTCAAGTTGAAGAAAGAGATATTTTCCATGGGATCATTCAGACAACTCAGCACAGAGCAGACGGACTATTCAAAATCCTCAAGAAGATGAATGACACTGCCTACAAAATTAATTTACCGAGGATTACAAAAACCATGCCTACCTTCAACATGGCGAATTTGACTCCATATTACGAGGATACAAAAGCTACAACAGATTGGATCAAAGCTCCCGCAAACCCGGGAGACTAAAACCGGGTATCGTTCACCAAACATAGACAAAGTCGCGATTAGCAACACTGGACCAATTTAGTCCATGCACAGGAGGTACGAACAGGTCCTAAGCTTGGGGTTCCCTCCTATTGGGAGTGGGGCCCAATTCTCTTCACCCCGGGTCTATATGTATGTTATTCGATGTGTTTTAAGACGGCTTTTGCTATTTGATTTTTGTAAGGATAGCCACTTGTATCTCATTTTTTCCTATTAGGGTTATATTCGAAGTCGAATTGATGCTCCTACTAAAACTCATCCAAAGGCGGTGGTTTTATATCATTTTTTGCTTCCCTAGAGCTTCCCCTCAGTTGTCGCCATCGCGGTGGTCGTTGTCATCACTTGGAACAGAGTTTATGCTATTTTTCTACAGCCAGTCATCCCTCTCAACCATTTGTCCCTCGTTGCCAGCCCTGTCGACCGTCTCTAGCTTGTCATTGACCTCTCCAACCAATCCTTTTCCAACCACCTCTAACCTATTGTAGCCCCTCCCAGCCACCTCCAATCTACTGCCTTTCCCTTCCAGCTCCCACAACTTGTTGTCAACCCTCTTTCAGGCCCTACAACTTGCAGTGAGGCGCTTTCAAACCCGAACAACTTCATGCCAGCCCCCTTTCTAGCCACCTCTCACCTGTTGTCGCCTACCACTTGTTTAAACATGAAACAATAGAAATTCTCAAAAGAAATCAAGTTTACACCAGAGTAAAAACGATCAAACCAGACTAACTCTCATTTTGCTCCGGAAGGATTCTCCCTTACAGTGTATTTCCACTTGCTGGTACTCTCACACTCTTACATTAGTGAAATCCACTCACCAATCTCGTCCAAACTCTCACACACTCCCTCTCAAACACTCTCACAACGTCGCTGGTTAGGAAAATAACATTGAAGCCCCCAATCATTCGAATCCATCATATTTAAGCATTCAGACCGCCACATCCTCACAAAACTATGCACAGGGCGCCTAGGTGCTTTGTTGGAGCATCTGTTTCCGTGCTCTCTGCATGTGAGCATGAAGGGGGTATTCATCATCTTCAGATACACACTATATCCAGACTACACCCCAAGTACATCATATCCGCACGAACAGATCATATGCACATAATATTGTTTCATCCTAAGGCGGTGTTTTGCTACATCAAGAATTTACGTTAAATAGGATTTAGTCAATCCAGATTTATCAAATCCATTTGATTTGGAGAAAAGCTTCCAAGCCACGGAGCGTAAATCCACCTGCGGCTCGGATTTAATAAATCCGGATTTACTTGACTAAAAAGACGGACCGCGGGGAAAATCAGGCAGATCGTGAGAAAAATAGGTCTAAATGAGCATTGGATTTAAGGTTCAATTTTCGCTGTTTGACTGGATTTAAGCTAAATACATTGCTAAATCCCCCTATTAAAAAACTACCAAACACCGCCTAACTTTAACAGACTTAGCAGACAAGCAGTACAAGCTCAAATTCGGCTGAAAGGGAAGAGACCTGCCTGCGAAGAGGAGAGATGAGGGCGCTTCTTCATGCAGGATGCCAACCATTCATCTCGCAGCACGCTCTGCTTCGTCAACAACGCCGTTCTAGGGACTCTTAAGATTAACTCGCCCATCCTGAGATCGCGGCAGGCGGCGAAACCCCTCCTGCGCATAAAAGAGAATCGAAAGGTTGATACGTATAACAGGGCTGAGAAAACAGAAGGAGGGTAGGTGTGATTACCCGCCGGCGTTAGAGAAGTTGGATACGACAAGGGAATGGCCCAAACAGGAAGGGGATGGGATGGAGGTGGAAGGAGATTGAGAAGGATCGTCGGAGATGCCGATCTGTGCTGCCCAGCACAGGAGCGCTTCCATCTTCGGGCCCTCTATGCTGCTCATCTTGTCGGCGTGCTCTCTCTACATCTTCGAATAGGCGAAAAGTACTGTAAAAGACTGGTTGTGAACAAGTTGCCTCACCTCACCTTTTCGGGCAATCAGTCCGTTTAGTTGGCGCGTTTCGTCAGCTTATCCGAAACTGTATTTAAGTTTTTGTACTAAACGCAGATTGCGGGTCGACTCCTGCGGCCAGCCCGCGGGCCGCGTCTCACCTCACCTTTGGGGGGCAATTTTTAGTTCGCGCTTTTCGCCAGCTTATCTCGGAATATTTAAGTTTTTGGGTTGACCCCTACGGCCAGTCCGCGGGCCGCGTTTCAGGATAAGATATTTCCGGATAAACAGTTTATCTCGAAACGCACAAGCTGCCCCAAACGGACCCTATATTTGAGTTTTATTAATTTTATTGCGTTCGAATTCTAGTTCAAACTCTAAGTCTATTAGTGTTTGAGTTTTATTAATTTTATTGCGTTCGAATTCTAGTTCAAACTCTAAGTCTATTAGTTCAAACAGACTCGTAAACCCGCTTATTTAATATAAAATAAGATTAATTTTAAATAAGTTGAACAAATAGAATATGAATATGAAAAATTCACTTACTATACAATAAAAATTATCATTTTCTTCTTAAAAATTTAATATGTCTTGAGTATATTTCATATAAATATATTTTTTAAACGAGCCGGCACACGAGCCAGCAGTCGAGTCTGGGTTGGTCTGAGCTTGGTTTGTTAGCTCCTCAAGCTCAGTTCACGAGCCACTTATTGAGTCGAGTTCAAGCCAGCTCACGAGTCTAACTTGACTCACTTGCAACTGTAGTTAAATTTAAGGGGCATTTACATTATACCACCTAGTCGAGTTCAAGCCAGCTCATGAGTCTAACTGGACTCACTTGCAATCGTAGTTAAATTTAAGGGGCATTTACATTATACCACCCAATTCTTATGTATACACATATTTATCATCTAAATTTCACTTCTTTTACATTTATATCACTCAAATCTTTCATATTCATTTTACATTAAAAATATTTTTGTATACACTTTTGAAAAATGAAATATGCATTTCAATGCATAAATAAGATAGTGTTGTATATAATTAATGCTTACGTGCTAGGCGTATAAATATATAAAAAGTTATTGGTATGTATGTAAATTTTTCTTTATTTTTTTAGAGGTATTTACATATATTCCGTTCAATTCATATGTGTTTACATATCTATATATAAAACTATAATTAATTAATTATTTTTTAACATAGGAAAAAAAATTTATTTGATCACATGAAATTTTCTACATTTATTAGAAGCAAGAAATATAAAAGAGTTTTTATTTTTAGTGAAAATGATCAAAACTTCAATTCTTAGATAAATATTATATAGTTGGAAGTTATACTTCAATTCTTATATTATCATCACATTGAAGTCATGGAAAAATGATTTGCTTGAATAGTACACAAAATGAATGAAGCCAATCAAACTAATTAGCTTATTATAAACTAGTTGGCCTTTTTGCTTATGTGGAAGAAGTCTAATGCAAGGGAGAGCATATGTTGTAATGCCGGGAGGAGTGCGCTCAATCGGCTTCCAACATATTTTAGTGTTTTAGATTTTAAATTACTTGCTGGCAAGTAATGTTTAGGTTTTAGAGAAATTTGATGTGATCAAATATGTGTATTATTTTTATATTAGTTGTATCTTTATTTGTGTTATTTTTATGTTTCATATCGGTATTTTAGTGTTTTATATAATTTACAGGTGAAATTTGATAAGGTAACATAAGGATTAAGGAGATAAAAAAAATGTCTGAGTTTTGAACGAGCCTGGGTGCATAAATGCTTGGAGTCGGAGAGTCAGGCGCTCTTGCGCCTCTCTAAGCGCCTTATTGTTTGCCCCATGTGTGAATATTCAGAGAGCTTGGAAGTCTGGCACCAGTAATGGGTGTTGACATCAATTTTTTATGTTACAAATACCATATGCCCCTATGATGATGTGGAAGCGTGCGGTGCTCATGCTCGCCTTCTCGTAGTTCAAGGAATTCTTTGGGATATTACAAAAACAGTCCATCTCCGGACTAAGGTTACTTCCGTTTTGGTCGTGCCCAATAGTGATTGCCTCTGATTTGTGATTGTTTCCCCATTTTAGGAGCAAGCTAAATGATCATTTCGAGGCCTATGTGATCTGGTCCGATCATTAAGAGATTTATGTGCTGTGAAATACGTTTAACAGACTCCAGGAGCGAAAAATGTCCTATAAGTGTCTGGCGTGGCCACGCCTAACACCTCCCATTAGGATCTAGGGGGTTGCCTTAGGTGTAGCCACGCCCGAAGGTAGCATGACCACGGAGCAAGACAAAGCTCATGGCGTTACCACACCAGACCTCCTAGTAGTTGTGCGAAGGCTGCCTTCGATGAGTCACGTCTGAAGGCAGCGTAACAATGTTGTAAAACAATGAACCTAGGGTAATTACATCAGGGAGTCGACGTTACCATGCCAACCCACAGGCTGAGCGGAATGAACACGCCCGAGCTGCTTAAATTTCAAATTTTAGCTTGGCAACCCTAGGGAGGTGTGTCACTTAGAGCCAAATTTTCGTGTCCTCCTTGGACTTAGGGAGATCTTTTTGGGATTATAAATAAGCTGGGGGCGTTAACCCTTTTTGGCATGTCCTAAGTGCCTCTTGATTAGCTATTTTTGGCTTAATCAAGGGGCATTTTTATGATATTTCATGTGGAGGCAGGTTTAAGCTTTCTCTCTCCCTCATTTCACCAATCTCCACCTCATTTTAGTTTTGGGGGCTGGTTAGGAGAGCTTGGGAGAGTATAAGGGAGAACTCCATCTTCTTCCTCAAGGAGCTTAGGATTTTCTTGGAGCTTAGAGCTTGGAGGAAGGAAAAAGGAGAGAGACACTTCATCTTTCTCAAAGAGAAGCTCAGAGGAGTTAGTTATCTCCCAACTTCTCCTTATCCTTCGATCTTCTCCCTCTTCTTCCATCATTTCAATTGAGTGTGAGGAGATTTTTGTGGGGAAGAGCTCGGCTAGCGAGGAAGCAAGGTGTCTCCTCTCCCATATTAAAGGAGAGCTTCTTCCTAATTTAGGGAAGGATTGTAGTAGCACCGCCAAAACATTGTTGGAGTTCAGAACTTCATTGGAATCTCTCCGGGCTCTCCTTCAAAATGAGAGCTTCTTTATTATTTAGAGAAGGAGTGAAGCTGACCTTGTCAGAGCTTCGCCAGAACCTCGCCATTTCTCTTATCACTGGGAAAGCTTCATCTTACATGGATAAACGTGACATTGAACTCCGCGTTGGTGAGATTATCTAAAATTCCTCACAGTTTCTTTCTTAGCTAGCCTTAGGAATAGATTTTGTTATGTCTTATGGGTTCAGTCACCCACATGAGCCAAGTTGGCCGACCGACAATAGTCAGCGTTGTCACATGCCTTTGGATTGGTCATCGATTTCCTAGAGAAAGCCCTAGGTTAGGAAGCACGTGCGTGGCCAAATCCTTTGAGATACCAAGTGATTCTCGTTGCAAACCATAGACTAAAATCCTAATGGATTGGAATCCCAATTTTCCCTTTTTTTGGCATATCCAACCCTCATTGGAGGAGTTGGGATATTTGGATTTTTTGAAGTAAGAAAAGTTTTGTATCTCACTTTGGAAAATCACGAGTTGTGGAATAGAAAAAACATTGTAGTTAGTCCATTTCACAACATTGTGGAGAGATTTTTTTTTTTTTTTTTGTAAATTTGAAGGTGGAGCTCCCCACACACCTCGCTAAAGCAGGAGGTGGTTATCTCACTTATCCACGTGCTAAACTCTAAGTGTCTATGTGAGATCATTAAATAAGTGTGGCTTGCTATCGATTATGATCATTTGCATTATGTGTTGTATCAAGATGTGTACCATGGGTGAAGCATGCCAGCATAGCATTTTGCCTCGATCTGTTGCCCTAACCTGGTTAAAATCACACATTGTCTCAATCACTTGCCCCGACCCCTTAAATCATATTTTGTCTCGACTGGCTGCTCTGGCCCGGTCGGCATTATACTTTGCCTTAACTGGTTGCCCCGGTTTGATTGGCATTTCATTAGGTCCCACCGGCTACTCTGGCCAGGTCGACCGATCACTTTGGTTCGACCGGTCATCCCGGTCCGGTCGACGGATCACTTCGATATGCCCGGTCTCCCGACCTTGTCAACCAACCGCTTAGGTCCTCCCGACCTTGTCAACCAACCACTTAGGTCCGACTGACTGCCTAGGCCCGCTCGACCGACCACTTAGGTCTGACTGACGACCTCAGCTCAGTCGATCAATCACTTTGGTCCAACAGGCCACTCCGGCTCGCTCGACCGATCACTTTGGTCTAGTCGGTCTCCTTAGCCCGTTGGCTACATTGCCCCTTGGTTGATCCAGCAGGTCAAACAACCAATTTCACTTGCATAATATTTGTTTTACATGGTTTGCATTAGCATATTCTCCACTTGCACCCTTATTGTGCACTTGTGGACACATGTCCTCATATGCTCTTATCGAGTATTTACGCCTCCCATAGACATGCTACTCCACATGTTTGCTCTATGACATCTTTATGTCAGGTGCCTCACGTCATTGATGTTCACACCTGCACTAGTGCACTCTCACATGTTCGGTTTGCATGTCAACTTGCAAGCTCATAGTCCTGCATGTTTGAGTCTTGCTTAAATCGTTCGTGCAAACCCGTCGTAGACACTCATGTGTTTGTGTCAAAGACAGCTTGCATATCAGGGAGTGATAGTTTTTCGTGGTTTTATGTCAGTTCAGGCAATGAAATATATAAAAATCTCTCATTTCAAAGAGATAAAGTTGATCGAGAGGGATTTGATTGGAGAGAATGAAGGGAGTATTCAGAAGAACAATTAGGAGCATATGGGAATACATGAAGGAGACATTAAGGAGAGTGTTTGTGAGTGTGGGGCATTGTTAACTTGAGTAAAAGTCAGAGTTTTATGTTAAAGTGAGAGGATAATACAGTGAAAATCATTGTACAATTCTTCAATTTGGTGGAGCAAGTCCTGGTGAGATTGTTGTTATTGCAAAATTTAATATCTTTGATTCTTGCAAT